CCGAGGTCCGGCAGAGTCACCTCGGCGGCGCGGGGCACCGGACGACGGCAGCGTCGCTGGACGCCGACGGCAGCGTCAATCGGGTCGGGCGAAAGGTGGGGATAGACGTAGCTGATTTTCCCGGTGCCTCCTGGCGCCGGGAGGCGCCCATGTATCGAGGAGTGGGCCCGGCGGCGGGGCCGAAACCAGCTGCATGCAGCAAATTTCGAACCCCCCCTTTTCCCAATCCCCCCCTTTCGTCCGGCCCGAGTCAAGGACGGAGCATGACGACGACATGGATATCCAACACATCGCAACATAAAGCCATCATCCTGAAAGAAGAGAAACACGCCATGCGTAACACATAAACCTTTGGCGTTCCGCGCGGATCTGCGGATCGCGCCAGGGGCGGCGCCGGAGGCGCCGCCGGGGGGGGGGGCCCCGCTTCGGATCCAAGCAATCCGCGCAGAGCGTCAAACGTTTATGTTTATGGCGTTTGTTGAACTCTCATTACTGATCCCCCCCCCTCCGGTCGCACCCTGATTTTGTATCAGGGAAGGTTTTCCTCCTCAAACTGTGCTGTTGGTCCCCGGGTTACAACAACAATGGCTTCCGCCCGAAACCTCCCTACAATTTAGCCAGGACCCCCGCTCCCGCCTGAGGCTTCCTCGCATTTTATTCAGGGATCGCAGTCTCGCTTGGGACGGCGGTCTGGAATCGCGCTCTCGCTGGAGACTTGCTTGCAATTTACTAAAGAATAGCGCCCTTGCCTTGGAATTTCCCGCAATTTACTCAAGCGCCGCGCTCCCGACACTCAGGCACCCAGGAGTCGCGTTCACGCTTGGCACTCCCTCACAGATTACTTGGGAGTCGGGATCTCGCTGCCCTTCGTGGCCCCGTTGTAGCCCTTCATGGCCCCCTCGCTGCCCTTCGTGGCCCCGTTGTAGCCCCTCGTGGCCCCCTCGCTGCCCTTCGTGGCCCCGTTGCAGCCCTTCGAGGCCCCCTTGCTGCCCTTCGTGGCCCCGTTGCAGCCCGTCGTAGCCCCCTCGCTGCCCTTCGTGGCCCCATATCTGTATGCCCTTCGTGGCCCCCGCTCGTTCGCGCCCGTCGTGGCCCTATACGCATGCCCTTCGTGGCCCCGCTGTCGCCCTTCGTGGCCTCCTCGCTGCCCTTCGTGGCCCCGTTGCTGCCCTCAGTGGCCCCGTCGTTGCCTTCTGTGGCCCCGCATTATCTGCCCTTCGTGGCCCCCGCTCGTTCGCGCTCTTCGTGGCCCCATACGCATTCCCTTCGCGTCCCCGCTGTCGCCTTTCGTGGCCTACTTCGTGCCCTTCGTGGCCCTGCTGTCGTTCTTTCTCTCGCTCTCGTCGTCGCCATCGTCGTCGCCGTCGCTGTCGTCGTCGACGTCGTCGTTGTCCTCGTCGTCATCGTTCTCGTCGTGGTCGGTCCCCTGTCCGTCCCTCTTGGGGTCGGGTTGCCGCCGATCAGCTCTGCCGCTGGCCAGGCCGAGAGTCCGCGGCCGCCCCGCCGCTTGCCGGGGCCCGGCCTGCAGGGAATAAAGGTATACCCCCCAAAAGGGGTACGATCGAAGACGAAGAGGGAAGGGAATCGAGGGTGGGAAATACGCGTCCACGGACACTCAAGCAGATAAGAGCGAGCAGTCCTAAAATCATTGTGATGGTCCTTCTTCTTCTTCTTCTTCGAAATCTCGCCGTTTTCGGCCTCTTGGGGCCCTTGCGAGGCTCCAGGACCATGCAGAAGCGACCCACGAGGAAAACCGGCCCTGGGAAAGGGTCGGGGCTCCCAGGGGCCACGTGCCGAAGAAATCGAAACCTAGGAGGCCTGGGGGGGCGGAGAGGACAGCGAGGTCGAGGAGGAAGACCCGCAGCACGGCGAGGATGAGGACGACGACGAAATCTTACTTCCAAGCGCAACAGTTCTTGGAGAGGGGGAGGGAGGGCAGAAGGGGAGAGCGCGCACCAGCGATGACCAGCGCGCCATTCGTCTCACTCGGGGCTGTCTGCGACTAGTGGCAGAGGACGGCGACGAAGCCTGACAGGCTCGGCCCAGGAGCGCAGCGCCTCCGAAGCGAGCAGAAGGGGCCACTCTCGATGATTGCACACAGTCGTGCCAAACCGATGCGCAGGGGCCCCGGTTGACTACCTACCAGACCACCCCAGCCCAACCCGAAGACCCGAATTTCGGGTCGGGGGGGTACAATGGAGGCCAGTCCACAAGAAACCTTCCGCAAGAAACCCAACCCTGAGACCCCAGGTCGTCCATTGATTTTTGGTGTGGGAACGTCAGGCCTTCCATAGCAACACCATCGAATACCAAGAAACCCAGGGCATCCTGGAGGCAAGCAGGGTGTTTCTTGGCATGGGTCTTCACTACACGGGCTTCATGTGTTTTTTCAATGTTCCCCGCACCCCCCCCCGACTGGAAATGGACGGCAAAGCGGGACCTTCGGGTTGGCTTGGGGATGTTTGGGTTGGCGGTGACCGACCGGCTCGAAGACGTCAACCCTGTGCGCGCCCTGAGCCAGACCTGCGTGGGCGGAGGCCCCTCATTTCAGACAAAAGCGCAAAGAAGAAGCAGAGCCGAAACACTACCGCTCACCACGCTTGGCGAAGTGCTGCCACTCGTGCGGGAGGAGGAAGAAGAGGACACAGACCTCCGACGTCATTTTTTTTCACAAGGTGGACCCTCGGAAATCCGGCCTTTCGGCCGCGACCCGCTCCTCATCCCCGAACACGCTCATGGACGGCCCCGGAGCCCGGGGAGGGCCCCCGGAGGCCGAAGATTGCCAGGTGCCCTCCGCCGCGATCTGTTGCCACGGCGAGAGGGCCCGAGGAAGAGGAGCAGCCAACGATGCCGACGACGACGAAGACGTCGAGGGGCCCCCGCGGCGCCCCGAGGCCGCCGCGCCGCCGCACAGGGCGGGCCGCCGACTGCCGACGTCGGCACGGGCAGGAGTGACGCGGGAGCGGGCCCCGTGGACGGGAGGCGTCTGATTACGGCTGCTTCATGTCGTGATGGCCACGGCGTTAGTTTCTGACACCACGTATCAATGTGTATATATATATATATGTATATATGTATATGTGTATATGTATAGCTATGTACAGATTGTTTGCTGTACACACATACATACAGATGTATCATTAAACTTTGGAAGATCGGCGGCTGTTCCGTTCGCCAGATCGTTCCGTACTGGCCGACTCTGGGCCCCTGGCGGCGAGCAGCCTTGAACGCCCGCGCCGGGTTCGCCGGATCGAAACGACACGGACCTGCCGTATGCACCTGCACCGTGCCTGGCCAGGCCCTTCCCGAGCCCAAGATCGGTGTGCATGCACCCTGGAATCCGACGTCGCTAAAAATGACCCCGCTTCGACCCTACCAACAAGATGGAGCCCCTGGGAAAGCAGCATTAGTTGCTATGCTATGCTATGCTATGCCATGCTATGCTGCGCTATGCTATGCTATGCTCTGCTATGCTATTATATGCTATGCTGCGCTATGCTATGCTATGCTATGCGATGCTATGCCATGCTAAGCTATGCTATGCGCTGTCATGCTGCGCTGTGCTATGCTAAGTTATGCTATGCAAGACTATGCTAAGCTGCGCTATATTATGCTATGCTATGCTATGCTGCGCTGTGCTATGCTATGCTGTGTTATGATATGTTTGGCTATGGTATGCTATGATATGCTATGCTATGCTGGGCCATGCTATGATATGCTGTGCTGTGCTATGATATGCAATGCTGTGCTCTGCTATGCTAAAGCTCAGCGGAGCTACTATGAAGGTAAGCTAAGCTAAGATAAACCTGAGCTAAGATGAAGCTAAGCTAAGATGAAATAAGCTAAGCTAAGATGAGATAAGCAAAGCTAAGCTAAGGGGACGTAACCGCATGCCGATGATAATAAAGGGACCCCCCCCCTTCAGTGTTTAGAGTTGATTATCGTCGCCCTATACAAAATTCAAATTGGGCGGCGAGCGCTGAGGCCGAACTTCATTATCACCTCGAAACGCTATGTTGAGATAGCAACATCCAGCGATGTTGATATAGCAACATCAAGCGAAGCGATCACACTTTTTCAGGATGGGTGAGGCGAAACCAATAATTTTGGGAGGCAGACTCAAACGAAACGAGCAATGTTCTTATTATTCTTCTACTTTCCTCTTCTTCTTTTATATTTCTATCTGTCCTCACGCTCGCCTGAACTTTTTTATCCCTGGGGTTGATTATCCATGGAAAATGAAGCACATGAGCTACCTACCCTACACGAGCACTTAAAACAATCAATTTTCATAAAGCGTTTGTAAATTAAAATTGATAGATTTGGAACTTTGGATTTGTCCTTTCTTCGTCCTCTTCTTATTATCATCTTTTTCTTCTTTCTTATTATTCATCTACTGTATTCTTCTTCTTTTATATTTCTCTCTGTCCCCACGCTCGCCTGAACTTTTGTATCTCTGGGGTTGATTATCCATGGAAGTTGAGGCACATGAGCTACCCTACACGAGCACTTACAAAAAACAATTTCCATGAGAGATAAGCCATTGTTGAGGATATTTCTATGAAAACTAAACGCCAAGGACGTCTCAAAACGTGCTCGGCTTGGTCTCCTCTTGATCATCTCTTACTTCGAGATTATGCTGAGGTCTGCTGGGCTACTTTTATTATCTCTCCCTGAACCCCGAACTTTATTATCCCCTAGTGTTTATTCTCACGGGCATGAGGTTAACTGGGGGAACCGCGGGGCGGATACTGGGGGAACCGCCCGGGGCGCTTTCCACTGCCCGGCCCCTTTAAGCCCAGAGAGTAAGAACCCTTCTAGGCAGAGCCTAGGTAGGGAAAGTGCAACATCGCGAAAAACACGACCTGAACCTTAGACCCATCTGTTTTCTGAATTTTTCGAGCCCAGTCGATCCGTGAGGGCCCTGGGGCCCAAGAAAGGGCGAACACGCCCATTGCGACAAACATAAGAACGCCCGGATGTAGGGAGGAGGGAGGAGAAGGAGGAGGAGGAGGAGGAGGAGGAGGAGGAGGAGGAGGAAAGAAGAAGCGGCAAGACGGCCGAAGTCGTGCTTGCCCTGTTGTGCTTGCTTTTGTCTCGCCCGCGGGCTCTACGAGGCGAGGCCTGCACTGGGCTGGCCCGGGTCTGGGGGGGTAGCACGCGCGCCGAGGCGGGCCCGCGGCGCGGGCGCTCACCACTTGCGCTCCCACGCGGCGCCGTTCGCGAACCGGACGGCGGCTCCGAGCACCTCGCCCTCGGGGAAGGGCGGCTCCACGAACACCTTGGCGCCCCTGACGATGCCGCTCTTCTCCACCGTCTCGCCGCTCTTGGTCTTCAGGCCGAAGGTGATCGTGCAGTGATCCTGCTTCACCTGGAAGAGCTCGCCGTGCGCGTCCGCGAACCATTTGTCGCCGCCGAGCTGGGCGCAACCGGTCTTGGCTATGTCGAGGTCGGTCTCCGACTTGAGCGCGCGCTCACGGGCGCGCCTGCGGGCGCCGTGGGGGCGATCCTCCGACTCTTCCGTGTCCAGGGCGGCAGCCCGCACGAAGGCGAGCGCCATCAGCATCGCCGCCAGCACGCGCGCCATTGTTCGGCACAACGTGCGCACAAGGGGGGTCTTTTCTGTAGCAGATGCGAAGAGAAACCAGTTCAGGGCAGCTTGAGCCACGAATCAACGGATGTTGGATATTTTCTGTTCTCTTCGTTTTATGTTCATGAAAAATCCTTCGACCCTGTCGGCGTGTGGAAGAGGCTGCTCCGCTTGACTCGTCGTCGTCGTCGTCGTCGTCGTCGTCGTCGTCGTCGTCGTCGTCGTCGTGGTCGTCGCCTTCGCCGCTCGCTTCCCCCCTTTTCCCTCGGCCTGTCGCCGTTCCCCCCACTTTCACCGGGTTCTTCTCCTCGAGCGCGCCAGCCACAACGACATTGAGCAACGTTATAGTTGAGTCGAAGGGAAGCCCCCTCCCTTTGATCCCTTCCCCGCCGGGGGGGGGGGGGAGGGGTCCCGGGGTGAGGATCCGGAGGGGTCCCGGGGCAGATGCGACTCCCCCTCGGGCGGTTGGGAGGCAAAGAAAAGCCGCAGGACGCGGCAAAACTGCTCCAAGATGCCCCCAAGAGGGTCCTCGAGGGCCCTGTATCGCCGAAGTATCGGTCCAAGTCGTCAAAGTAGCCTCCAGACGGCTCACAGGTTCCCAAAATGCCCCAAGAGGCCTCATAGAGGACTCCAAGAGGTCCCAAGGGGCAAAAATCAAGAAGCCCCCAAGACCGCCCCAAGGTGGCCCAAGAGACCTCCAAGAGAGCCCCAAAACGACCCAAGAGGGCCCCAAGACCGACCAAGAGGCCTCCAAGACAGCCGAAGAGGCCCCCAAGACGGCTCCAAGGAGGAGCCCAGACGGGGGACCCGAACGGACATTTCGAGCCCTCGGCCTGAGAAGCTCTCAGGAGGCCCCCAGAGGTCCCTAATTAAGGAGCCCCCCAAGAAACCCCAAGAAGGCCCCAAGAGACCCCCAGGAAGCCCCAAGGGGCCCCACGAGGCCTCCAAGCGGCCCCCAAGAGCTTCCCAAGAGGCCCCCAAACTACCCCCCAAGAGGGCCCCGAGAGCGCTCGTCGTCGTCGTCGTCGCCATTCAGGGTCGGCGGCACCGGCCGTAATAGCGGGCAGAAGACCCACCCCGACAGTAACCACCCCGACACGCGAAGCCGTTTAGCAAACGCACCCAAAGAAGGAATCAAACAGGGCAGGGCTGTTTAGTAAACGCCCAAGGCCGTTTAGTAAACGCCGATTGTCCGGTCCGGGTGGTTTTTCCTCCCTTGACGTACGGCCTTCGCAATAAATAAAGAAAGCAAATGGCTAAACAAATTTGTTTCGCTTCGCTCTGTCTCGTGGACGGCCCCCGGGCCCGGGCAGGGCCCCTGCAGGCCTCCCCAGAGGCCTCCAACGCGCTCCCCCTCTCCTCCGCTGCCGGCGGGCGGCGCCAAAAACTCGGACACGGGCGGGAGGCCCCTTGACCTCTGCAGTAGGCGGCGAGCGAGGGGGGGAATTGAGGAGCGGCGGGCCTTCTCAGAAGGCTCGGAAGTCCTACGGCCTTCTGAGAAGTTTTCTAAGCCTTCCCCAAAGAAATAAAACAACTTCTCAGAAGGCGCGGGGGCTTCTGAGAAGTCCCGCCGCCTTCTGAGAAGGCCTTCTCCTTCTCACGTCCCCCCTTCGCTCGCCGCCGATCTACAGCAGGGGCCCGACCAGAAAACCTCCCACAAGAAACCCAACCCCGAGACCCCAGGGCGTCCATCAATGCTTGGTCTGGGAACGTCACGCTTCCGATGGCGAAACCATCGAAGCCCAAGAAATCCGGGGCACCCTGGAGGCAAGCAGGGTGTTTCTTGGCATGGGTCTCCACTGTATGCTGACCGGGGCGGCCCTAAAAGGCGCATTACGCTTGCATTTGTTGCACGCCTGGCGCTTTCGACCGGCTATGGGGCCCGAGGCCATCTCAGATCAATCTGGCTCGAACAGTACAGCAGAAACAAGGAGTCCAGGGTTCTGGTGGAGATTATTCGCAGTGTTACACTTTGCGTCCCCGAGCAGTGCCTCGCCCCGACATCCCGGGGGCCACGCACACCACCGGGAAGCCCGAGCACGTCCGAGGGCCCCCGAGGACCCCCCCCCCGCGGCCTCCCTGGAAGCGCCCTGGGGGTCTGCGCTGGACGGGCCCCGAGCAGCGGGCAGGGGTTGGGTCGGGCATGTCCTCCTGCAGGAGGATCTTGGACGAAAAACGAAGCACAGTCCGAAAACACCCAGGAGCAGTCCAAACTGCCAAAACAACATCGTCGCCGGATTTTCTGTCTTGACTACTCCTCTGGAGCACTCCTCCTGTAACGGGGCATGCCCGACTCACGCCAAGGGCAAAACATCGAGGGGCAAACATCGAGGGGCGAGGATCGCGGATCTAGGCTCGAGGATCCAGGATCGAGGGCCGAGCATCGGGGTCGGAAGGTCGAGGCTCGAGGCTCGAGGCTCGAGGCTCGAGAGTCGAGGCTCGAGGGCTCTCCACCGCGGCGGGAGGCGCGGGCAAAAATCCGGTCGTGGTCGGTCCGGCCCCGCGGCCGAGCCCGGGAAGGCCACCGCCCCCGCTCACGCTCGACGTGCAGCCTCCGCCGAGAAGGAAGAGAGGAGGAGGAGGAGGAGGAGGAGGAGGAGGAGGAGGAGGAGGAGGAGGAGGAGGAGGAGGAGAAGGAGGAGGAGGAGGAGGAGGAGGAGGAGGAGGAGGAGGACGAGGGGGGCGGGGGGAACATGCAGGAGGAGGAGGACGAGGGGAGGAGGAGGAGGAGGAGGGGAGGAGGAGGAGGAGGGGAGGAGGAGGGAGGAGGAGGAGGAGGAGGAGGAGGGAGAGAACATGGGGGAGGAGGAGGAGGAGGGGGGGGACCATGGACGAGGAGGAAGAGGGGGAACCGGGAGGAGGAGAGGAGGAGGAGGAGGAGGAGGAGGAGGAGGAGGAGGAGGAGGAGGAGGAGTGATGCGCGCGCGAACTTTTCCCATGGAGGGTGTTGGAGGGCGACCATCGGCTGGAGCCGTGCTTGAACTGAAAGGGCTGCCCATGGCGAGGGGCCAATATCAGTACCCCCTGTGGGAACCAATCTAATACCAACACTCCCTGCGGGAGGTGCGTAGGGACCACCCGCCCTGCACGGACCCCCCCCACCACGTCTGGCATGTCTGACACCGCTTCCGGGGAAGTGCCAGGCGAGAGTCCACCGTGGCTCGAGTTTCGCCGAGCGTACTCCCCCTTCCACCGAGCCTGTTCGTCGTCATCGTTCCGGTTGCTCCTGTTCGTGCTCCTCCTGATGTTCCGAATCGCCGTCCTTGTTCTTATCCCCATCGCCCTCCTCAAAGTCTTTGTATTCCTTGTTCTGCTTGGAATTCCTCCCCCACGCAGCTCCACCCATGCCGCTTCCGATTGCCTCCGCTCCTTGAGCAACGATCTTCCCACTTCGACCCTCCTAAGACCTCAACGATGCTGTTTCATCGTTACCCCCGTCATTCTGACCTACCTCGATAATCCATCTTCCTCATCACCCTCCTCGCCTTTCTCATCGTCACTGGAGCCTGGTTGGACGGTTTCCCCCGGGGCCGTGGGCGACCCGAGGAGGGGAGGGCGAGGAGGAGGAGGAGGAGGAGGAGGAGGAGGAGGACGGGTCGCCTAAGCCCTTCGGAGAAACCCTCCAATCCTGGTCGTTGGGCCCCGTCAGCTTTCGGACAAACGTGACTCGTTCGATCCCCTCTGCCTGGCTCACGTTCGCCTTCAACCGAACACAGCAGGGGCCGACGACCCCCCGGCCTCCCCTGAACTCTGAAAAGGGGCCCCGCAACAGTGACGGTGATTCGCGGCGTTGACGCCTGAGGAATGGTGTGTGGCACACTCGAAGATGTTCGAACGGTTGTTTTCCAACGAGGCACTCTGTTCAGTGAAAACAAATCCTTGCAGGGTCTCATGGAGAGGGGACTTGGAGGGAGGCTTCACTGCAATGTCGTAGATGCGTCTTGGGTTTGCACTGGTCCTCCTCCTCCTCCTCCTCCTCCTCCTCCTCCTCCTCATCATCATCATCATCATCGTCCCCCTCAACACCTCCTCCCCCTCCTCCTCCTCATCTTCGCGGACCTCTTCGAAATCCTCGTTCGCCTTGGAACTCTTCCTTCGGAGCTCCTTTTCCTTTTCCGTGTCTTCCTCCTCCTCCTCCTTCTCATCCTCCTCCCCTTCACTCCTCATCCGCCTCATCCTTCTCCTCCTCCTCTTCTTGGGACCCGATCCTGACCTCGCCTTCATGGACATATTCATCTTCCTCATCATCGGATAGCCCTCCTTCCCGTCGGAGTTCGTACTCCTCCTCCGCGGCCTCCTCCGCATCATACTTCATCATCCAGGCAACGCTGCTTATCAATGCTACTCGGTGACTCAAGTCACTCAAGTCAAACGTCCATGGCCATGCACCATGCAACCTTACAGGCATGACGACCATGAGCAACGTGCTCGTGTAGACATGTGTGCAGATTGCCATATTGAAGGGCCACCTGCGCAAAGAAGGAGGGTGCGCCGCTGGATCTCCCCCAGGGGGGGGGGAAGGGGGGGGCGGGGGGGTAGGACCCCCCCCCCCCTTCCCCGATCCGTCGTCGGGAACCCCCCCCCCCCTCCCCCCTTCCCGACCCGTCGTCGGGGACCCCCCCCCCTCCCCCCTTCCCCGATCCGTCATCGGGGACCCCCACCCCCCCTCCCCCCCTTTCCCCGACCCGTCGTCGGGGACCCCCCCCCCCCGAACCCGAAATGGAACGAATTACAACCGACTTGTCCCAATTCCAACCGTTCTGAGCGAATTGCAACCAGAAGCGAGACCAATTCCAACCACAAATGAGACCAATTCCAACCCAACCAAAAATGAGACCAATTGCAACCACGGATGAGATCTTCGGAATTCCTCCGGATCCCTTTCGAATTCTTCGGAATTCCTCCGGATTCTTTAGGACTCCTTCGGAATTCCTTAGGATTCCTTCAGAATTTCTCAGGACTCTTTAGGAGTCCTTCGGAATTCCTTCGGATTCCTTTGGGATTCCTTCGGATTCCTTCGGGATTCCTTAGGATTCCTTTGGAATTCCTCAGGAATCCTCCGGAATTCCTTCGGATTCCTTTGGGATTCTTCGGAATTCCTTCGGATTCCTCCT